ATGTCAGCAAGATTATGCCCATATGCAGAACAGGACCCTTCCTCCTTGCTTTGTGGAAGTGGCAGTGTTCCCTGCAGGCAGAAATGCATCTTGGTTTTGTGTTTGAAAATTGTTTAATACCACTTAAGAACAGTGTAGGGTCCGTAGGTGATGCAAATGGTTTGCACTCAGCTACTAATGGAAAGATTAGTGGTTTCCATCCACCCAGCAGTGCCATGGAAGAAGATCCTGGTACTCTGCTTTCGTAAGAAAATCCCATAGAGCATAGTTCTTCTGTGGAACACATGAGATCACTGTCAGTCGGAATTTTCTCAGTGGCAGCTGTTTTTTTGTTTGTACGAGACTGAAAGGATTGAAATGGTCTGTACTGTAGACAATCGTATTAAGAACAGGGTTTCAAACCACTTTATTCCAATTCAACCACCTGCTGAGAATTTTAATTTCCAATCCAGATATATTGAATTAGTATGTACATTTTAACTGGTTCAGCGCTTTGGTTAAGAAGTAGTCCATTTACATAAGTTTACAGAAATCGTTTTGTGCTAGTAAAAGCTGTAATTCAGAATACAAATATCTTAAATATTTGATTGATTGACTATAGTTTGGGTGAAAGTTTACAGAGCAAATTAGTTGTTCATTAAACTTACACACATTTTTCTTTTGTAACAGTTACAAATCATAAATATTTTTAATGTACAAAATTTTGGTGATTCAAAGAAAGGTTTTTTTTTCCCCCCTTTGGGGAAAATCTATAGTGATTTTTTTTAAAAAGTAGCTTTAAAATTTTTTTTTGTTATGAACTAAGTGATAGTTTACATCGGAGAACATCAGTTTTACACCATCATTTCATTGCAATGATTACAATCCTCATGCATTATCATTCAACAGTATTTGCTTCCATTTCCTGTTTTTTTGTTATGGGGGGGGGATGTACACAAAAATACTCAGGAGTATATATAATTTAAACAACCAAAGGGCACATTTTGCAAGCCTGCCTCCTGGCCGCCAGCACCCAGTCCTTCTCTTTTCATGGGTCCAGAGTCCTCAGCTGTTCCCTTTCTCCATGCCTTCTCCTCTGCCTCTATCTCTGGGATTGCTGCTTCTCTGGATAGGGTTCCGCATTCCGCTTGTGCTCTTCTCCCTTGATGGTCCTAGGGTCCTCTGTTCCTGGACCTACTTGTGGAGTAGTAAGATTAACTATTCCCCCATTTTTGTTAAAAAACTTTTATCTTTCCATTTGTGACAGTCACAGTTAGTCATGATAACATTTACTCACTATTGATTCATAAGAATCTTATCCCCATCTCTTTTCACCAGACCCATCTAGACAAGATGAAAACTCTTCAGTCGGGACTTTACGTTCCCTCGCACACTCTTAAACTAAATTTCTCTTGAATATTTTTAAGCCAGTCACTTCGTGCCTTTATCACCCCCTCTTTTTACATAGTCCATGTCCTAAGTTGCCCATTCCTATCTATCCTGTATACAGAGGGGATAGGATTGATACTTGATAGAAGACTCCTTCCTTCTCAGTTGGTATTTTGAGCTACTACATCCATAAGTATATAGGTCAAGTTCATGCAGTTGTACCAATTTATACTTGTTTCCTTTATCAAAAATTGTTTTGTTGTTGTATGTTGTTTTTTTTTTTTCTTCCTCTCATCGAGTTCTAATTATCAAGCCATCAAGGCTAGGTCAAATGGGTACTATCTGCAAGTTTGGGTGTTCTTGTGTGTCTCCCCTAACTTGATATCAGCTGTATCTTCACTTTCAGCTCTACACCCCTCCATGGCATTGTTTTTGTCCATGGGTTCAGGAATCCCCAGGTTGCACCACATTTCAGACCAACCAGCCCTTCCTCTTCTCTCTCTCTCATTTCCAGGTCTATGGAACGTGATTGAATTCAGTCCATATCTTCATTGTTGCCTTTCCCCATCTTCCATACACCAGTAGACCGACGTGGTCGCCAGCAAGCTTACATGCCTGCTCATGTGTTCTCTTTGAGTTTCAGTCTTGGAGGGGAGTTTGTCTTGAAGAAATTTGAATGCTTGCCTTGATGGCTTCCCGGTGAACAACTTGCATGTCCTTGTAGTAGCCAATCATACTGTCATTTTAGTTTTGGATTTTTCCTGCTGATCTTATTTTGAAGATGTATCTTCTGTTCCTCTGGGTGTTCCAGACTGGTCTGCTTGTCCTTTCTAGTGGGAATGTCCCACCTCAGAAGGTTCTTGGTGAGGCTCAGGATTCCACCTAAGGTCCTATACACCGCAAAGTCTCCGCAAGAAGCTAATTTCACTGGGCAAGTTCTAGAACCTCTTTTAGGTATTCCAATCAGTTATAGGCTAACAAAGTAGCTTCTTTTTAATTTTGCTTTTACTGGCTATTTCCTGAGCCTTTATATTTTGAGCTATTGACTACCCCCAATCCAATGATATTTTTCTCTTTTGAATTTTATATATTACTAGTTGCTGCCTATGTCTTTTATTTGACACTAACTTCTGACTTACCATTTTAGTTTGCTTCCACTTATATATGTGTTTTATATCCTTGAGGAGAAGAATATACTTTGTTGTTTTGTATTTTATTATGAAGCCCACTACATTGTTGTTGTTGTTGTTAAGTGCCATCGAGTTAGTTCCGACTCATTGCGATCTTGTATAGGGTTTCCGAGGAACGTCTGGTGAGCTTGAACTGCTGACCTTGCTGTTCAAATCGATTTAATAAATATTGACTGTTGATTGCAGTAATTACGTAACTAACCAGAAAATGTTTTCACTGTTGATTCTCATTGCGAATAGTTCTTAGAATTATTATACGTTACTTTGGCACTTTGGGTTAATGCACAGGATTGCAAAATTGGTTTGAACAGCAGTGTTGATGGTTCAAACTCACCAGATGCTGCTCAGAAACTCTATATAGGGTCACTATGAGCTGGAACTGACTTGATGGCACTTAACAACAACAACAACCACCTTCATATAATTAGTCTAAATAAATCTGTATTTCATGATTGAGTATTGTTAATTTTAAGTTCATTATTCTTTGTTTTGTTGTTTTTTTTAAAGTTCATTTTTTTATTTTTTTATTTTTATTGAGAATTGAGTGATAGTTTACATGGGAGAACATCAACTTTACACTCATCTTAATCGTATTTTGTTTCATTGCAATGATTACAATCCCCTCCATGCGTCATCATT